CAGACATTTGTTTTGCAGTACAGGTCCTAAGTCAATTTATGCAACATCCCAAGAAGTCACATTGGGATGCAGCACTAAGAGTCCTTAGATACCTGAAGGGATCACCAGGACAAGGAGTATTATTGAAGAAAGGACCAATTACAAACTTGACAGCCTTCTGTGATTCAGACTGGGCTGCATGCCCCAATACTAGGAGATCAGTAACAGGATATGTTATTATGCTTGGAGAGTCTATGGTCTCATGGAAATCAAAGAAGCAACATACAGTGAGTAGGAGCTCAGCTGAGGCTGAGTACAGAAGTATGGCAGGGGCAGTATCAGAAATTATTTGGTTAGTTGGTTTACTGAAAGATCTGAAAATAGATGTCACTACTCCAGTCAGGTTGTGTTGTGATAGCAAAGCAGCTATGCAAATTGCTTCAAACCCAATCTTTCATGAAAGGACTAAGCATATTGAAATAGATTGTCATTTTGTGAGAGAGAAGCTCAAAGATGGCCTAATCAAACCAGAGTTTGTTGGCACTAAATCTCAGTTGGCAGACTTGCTTACAAAAGGCTTAGGAACAGTACAACATCATTTTCTTCTGTCCAAGTTAGGAGTTCTTGATGTTTTCCATCCTAGCTTGAGGGGGAGTATTAAGTCTTAAGAAGTCATTAAGTCGGTTAGTTAGCTCATTAATTGAATAGTCAGTTAGTTAGTTATTAAAATCTGTTGTAACTAACTACACTGCTTGTAACTAACTACACTGCAGAAAGCCAGCTAAGGCATCGTGTATAAATAGACATTCAATTGTCATTGTTGACACAAGAAATAAAATTCCTTTCTATCCTTTGTTCAAAGTGCTCTCAATTCAATTGTTCATCATCTGTGATTGATGAAAGTTAACATCTTCTATTCATTGTAGAGGGGGGGATTTTTTTTTTTGGAGTTGAAAATTTTAGAAAAAGAAACATTGAGAAGTAGCGAGAAAGCAAGAAGAAAATATTGGAGAAAAGTGGGGAGTTTTTCTTGAGCGATTTTTACACTTGAGAAATTTGGAATACATTTTAGTTTTTGGTTTGTAAGAGCCTTTGCTCGAAGTCAGTTCGGATATCCCGATTGTTTGCTCGATTTTTTGAAGTGGTGTAAGAGGTCGCCGCTCGTTTCGGCTCGTTCTGTCTCGGCTTCGTTGCACCTTTAAAGGTAACACCTCTTTCTTTGTATGATTTTTCTTCCTTTATATTTTAAGATGGTGTTTTACTTGTATCCTGGAAGTTTGCTTCCTGCTGATAGTTATTAAGTTCTTGACGTTCTGATACACCTTAGTTGCGATACTCTAGTTATTTCGAGTATCGTTTTCGATCTTGTTGATTCGTGCCTAGATTTGCTGCTTCTTTGTTGGTTTTATTTAAGGGTGTTTCACTAATCTTTTCTTGAATTTATTGGTTTGAATTCCACCGAGCATGTATGCTTCGTTTCACTCGTTCATTAACGTCAGCATCTGTAGGCTCTCCCTTTGCTGCTTGCCTTTGCTTAACCTGTTCAACAAGTATGTTTGTCCAGTTTAGCGATTGATTGAGAGTGTTCAATGTCTATTGCTGTTTTTGAAGTAAAATTGCAGCTTTGCATCGGGTTATTTAAGTATCGGCTAATCGTCCTATGTTTTTGAGGCATAGTAATTAATTTTCTTGCATGTTGCCGCTAATTAAAATTGCAATGGCTCTTCTATCTTTGTCTAAATCTAAAGATGTCTCCTGATGTTGGCTCGCCATCTATCTTGGCCATTTACGTGTTTCTTTGCTTAATAATGCCCCTTTTCTCTGCATTTTTCTTGTATTTATTCATGTCTACTCGTGTTTGTGTCCGGCATGCTCTTTATCCCTTAATGATCTCATCACTGGCTCCCCAACTTGTTTGGAATTTGATCCCGCCATCAGTAATTAATTTTGTTTTCTGTACTGAAAGTCCCGGGTGACAATTACTTAAGAATGTGGAGAATGACAGCCTTTATTGTGCTATTAGTCTCCTCGTCTGCAATAAGTTGATTTTTTCAGCTAAAAGTAGTATTGTTGAGATAAATATTTAACAAAGATTCCGACTTGTTCATCTTATGTCTAAAAAACAATAATCATATCCCTTGGCTGATTCACGTGTTTCCCGAAGTGTGCTAAGTAATGAGTTGTTTCGGTCTCAAATGTATATCCTGGCTGCCGTAGTTGCCAAATTGGACTTTAGTAATTTCATGTTGTCTTTTTCCTTTGGTCTACAATTTAAAATTTAATTATTATTTTTTCTATGTGTCCACACTTGCCTATTTCAACTACTGGTAATTTGCTAAAAAATGGAGTGAGTCGGAGGCAATAGTATAAGCGTGAGGAGTCTGGTCATCTCGGCTTGCTCTTGGTTTTTCTTTTCATGTATTTGCATTTTTTGTTCACAGCTACTGCTAGTTGCTTGCAATATAAATGGGTTATGTTCCTTTTGATACGTTCATCATTTAGTGACTAGTTCTGAGATGTTATTACTGGTTACTGATTCTCTTGTTCTTTTCTTCGTTTTGCATGAAAAATCTGTCTGAGTTCATTACGAACTCCTATCTTCCCTCTTGCATTTTGGGAGAGCCGCAAAGGCTCAAAAACTCCCTTTATCGAGTTAGCCGGCCACTAAAATCAAAGAACAAGTCCCTCAAATCGACGAACAGGTCCCAAAGGTGGGGAAATGCGGAAGCGGAGGATAATTGAAAAGATCGGGCCAAAGGCCCACTCTTTATATAAAGAGGATTGTATTTTTTATTTATTAGGCCTAAGTCCAGTTATTTGCTATTATATTGTTAGAATTTAGGACAGGTGGCGAGAATTGGGCCTTGTGGCCCAAAATGAAATTAGGCCCAAGTGTTGGTCCAGGCGGACAGAAAAATCAAACTTGGGCCCGAGTCTCTTTCCCTTTCTATTTTATTGTGTTTATCTACTAGTTAATATTTGCCATTAATCTTAAGATTAACAATTCAAATCCCCAAAAGACGCTCATTTTCGCTTTAAATCTTTTTTACTAAACCATTCATCTCTTAACAAGACTTAAAGAAATAATTTTATAAGATAACCACTCAGATAATATTTAAATATTTCCCTTTTTTCCTTTTTAAAAAAAAAATAGCTCTAACTATAAAATAGTTCAATCATGTTATTCGAATTAAGTTAAAGTATTTTTAGCCAAATAATTAATTGTCGGATAACCGCTTATTAGCGGGGATTTTGGGTGCTTTCAAATCCTTTCTGAAATGCTAATATGAACCTCGAACCCCCTTAAATATTTTTCAATTGATTTCCTGTTTTAATCATTTGAAAATCAGATTTCTTGATTTTTCTTAAAAATTAAGTGGCGACTTTTAAAAACAGTCTTAAATTATTTTAAAATAAAACAGTTAGTGTTACTATTTGTTAATCAAATCCACAAATAAAATTATCTTTATATTATTAAGTTTTATTTCAAGTAAAAGCATAAATAGCTAAATAAAAATATTAACCTAATTATTTTTCAATAATCATAATAAAATATAAAAACTATGACAATATTCCATAGGCTACGTAGTGATTCCTAGAAATTTTAGGAAAATTTTATTTTATGTAATACATATTTTATAAACATAATTTATATTTAGATTGTAATATTTCAAACTTTAGACTGATTTTGAGTTTAGACTCTTGTTATTTTTAATACTCTATTTATTATTTATTTTTAATTAATTTTTATTTGGCTCACGGGTTGGCCCCCTATCCATATTTCTCAAGCCCCTCAAATTGGCAGACTTATTCAGGCCAGGCTAAAAAATCACCTTTTTCTTAAATGGGCTCCAAAAATCATAGCCCAACCCTATCAAATCACGGGTTAGGCTAGGCCGGCCCAACGGGCCTAGCCCATATTGACGGCTCTATAAACAACTAATAAAACTAATTGGATCATTCTTACTGCACCATTGGTCCTAATCCTATACCTATCATACTGATATAGAGGCGAATTCAGAACTTAAAATTTATGAATTCTTATAAAAAAAAAACTAAAATTTATGAACGATATAATTGAGTTCATAATCAAATTATACTAAATACTTAATGATTTTCTTAGTACATATAAATAATATGAATAAAATCTATTGAGTTCACACTAACCTCTCTATAGTGTGGCAGGTAAAATCAATAATTTTGATCCAAATTGTACTTTGTATTTATGATAATAAATTTGTTTGTTATGTGTAAAAAAATATTCGGAACCCAATCCGACCAGTAAACGCCAGTAGTAGTCATAGTATTTGGAACAAAGAAAAGCAAGGGAATAACAAACCATATCTTCTGCTCCAACTTCATTTTCTTATAGTATTTTTGGAGGGAAAAAAGGGAATACAAATTAAATATTATCAGAATGCCAACCAAATACTGACATTGTGCTCTATCTTTACTGTGGAAAAAAATTAAATGTAATTTATTTATGCAGTTTTTTAATCTTCCAGGGGTCCCATTTTTCTATAGATTGAATTATCTTTAATATTTTATGACAAAATACTGTAAAGTGGTGTATAGTGGCATATATATATACCATTTGTATATTCCTCAAAATCATGATAATACCATTTGTTTCTAACTTTTTAATTGTACTAATTGAATAGATTAACTGTACAATATACTTTTGTTTAGTTCAAAATTTTCCTCTTTGTACTTTAAGCTTTGGTGTCTATTGTTTTCCACATTTTATGAGGTGTTAGGACTAGCAAAAGGCATAATACATAAACATACATTCAAACTAGGTCTTAGTTAGAGTGATCATTTAGACACCTCCAAAATTTATGTATCACGTCAGTATAGGGTGTCCACGAGACACATTAAGGATGAGTTGGAGTGTTTAGCTGTTAGTTGAGATGTCTAGATGTACATTCTCAATTAGTTACGGTTGCGAAATTTTAATTGGATGACAAAACTAGGATCGAAGTTTCGAGTGTTTGGCATCTGACAGATGAAAAAAAAAATCTGAAATTTAAGAACAAACTTTTTCTTACATAACGAACACATGAAAATAAGTAAGAAACGTACTTATTCTCCGGAAAAACATTTTCCAATAAGACATTTTAGAGGCATTGTTATCATTTGGTAGATCCAGGTCCATGACCTATTTCTATGGAACACATTTTCCATGGTACTGAACACACTCTCAGAACTTTGCTCGTTGATATCCACTAATACGGACCTCACTTGTAGGATTTCATTGGATATGTTGTCGTTGTTTGAGTTGATATGCCCTGCTGAAAGTCTTTGTGGGTAGGAGGGAGTATAAGAATGATCCACAACTCCCGGCAACGATGTAACATTACCATGTTGGTCCAAGTATAACAAATGGATCCCTATTTTCTTTACTGTGCCTCTGCCAGTTTCATTCTCTACTGTTATCTGTTCCCCGCCTTTGATATTCAGGCCTTTAAAAGGTGTATCATTTGAGTAAGAGAAGTAATATACATATGATACTTCGTGACTGTCAGATCTATCACAAGGCCAAATCCATGAAAAACCTGAACGCTTTATATGGGCAACAGTAACAGCGAAGTGTATAAGCTCATGTACATCGCAAAGGCGGCAAACAAACCAGAGAACCATTCCTAAGAACTTGTTATTATGTACTGTGGGCATAGTCAAACAGATAGATGTAGCTGTTACTTTATTGCTGCACCAATCTGGAATCTCATTGCTTTCGTGATTAATTTGTAATGACAGCTTCATCAGACAAATTAAGACGCAATTAGATCATTAATTATTAATATGATACGAGAGATAGATCATTAATTATTAATATGATACTAACCTCATACCGTTGATGTTTTCTAGACGGAATTGATAGAGCATGGGCACTAAAGAAGCCTTCATTGAATGGATTCTGCAGAAGAGTACAATTAATCATGCCCATCTTCTCTATTGAAGGGAGGTTGTCCAACCCTGTAATCTTGACCAGTTTTTGGCAATTCCTAAGTTCAAGAGTTGTAAGGTACTTTAAATTTGATATTGACGGGAGTGTTTGAAGGTTCTCACAATCATTCAAATGCAAGGAACTCAACCGTGGTAACTTGGAAAAATCAAAGGGTAGATTGAGGAAACTGTTGCCGCTCAAATCTAAATCATGTAAGTTGGATAAACTCCCAATATCCCTAGGAACATCAGCCTCCGAGAAACCACAATATCGAAGGCTTAACATCGTAATAAAAATTGGCAAGAATTCTACGCAGCGGACTCTTCTTTGAGAAAACCTCCTTTTGGTCTCCAAGTATTGACCTCCTAATTCCAAAATTATAAGATTTCCTAGCATTTCAACAGATCCAGGCAATTCTTTTATACCTGTTTCACCTGCATTAAGAATACTTAGGCTTTGCATATCTCCAATGTCAACTGGCAGTGTTTGTAAAGATAAGCAGTCATTAATGTACAAGTATTGAAGGGATTTTAGCTGGCATATGCTGCTCGGAAGATCCGTAATCTTTTTGCAACCATTCAATTTAAGATCAGTTAGTCTGTCCAAATTTCCTATTGATGGATGAATCTCCTTTAGACTTGAGCAATTCTCAAGCCACAAAGTCTTGAGACTTCGTGAACCGTTGAAGTTTGGAGTTTTTCTAAGGCTCTTGCAATCAGAGAGATCCAGCTTTTTCAAATTTCTACAATACTAAAAGTAAACAAAATATTGTTTCAATTAAGATTTTCTTTCTCTTAAACATTACACATAAAATTGCAGAATTGAGTAACGGACCTGCAAATTCAAACCAAATTCTTGGATATTGCTCCCTTTCATATTCAGAAATACAAGTTTCTCAGATGGAAAATTTGACGGTATACATTTTAAAGGACATCCTTTCCAAGACAGCCATCTGAGCTCCTTGGACAATAGCTCAAAATCTCCACTAATATGTAAGTCATCAATTTTAAGCACCCTAAGATATTTCATTTTCTGAAATGCTTTGGTGCTCACCTTCACACCCTTTAATGCCTGTCGTTCTACCACCAGTATTTCTACATTTTCAGAACCCTGCAGTTTAGTAAAAAGAAAAGTACTATAAGACCATGTTTAAGTATGATAAATTAAGAAAGAGAAATGCTTTATACAAATTGAAGGTCAAACAAAGAGAATAAATTATCTACCAATAAAACTAAATTCACACATTATATCCAACTAAAGGATATTTATTTGATAATTTTGTCTTTGATAGTTTGAGTGTTTAGACTCCAGTAAATGTTCATTTCAAGTACAAAATGGTTCAAACATCGAGAGATAATTTACTTGCCGGAGAAGAATTAAGCACAAATGCATAAATTATTAGCAAATATATATCAATATAAATGAAAAATGAAGAAGAATAAGTATTAACCAAGATAAAGATAATGAAATTTACTGACTTTATTTCCTTGTAGAACATCAATGGCTTCTAGAGGGTTGAACAATCTACTTCGTTTTCCAGGGTCTTGAGATTCCATGCGAACGATTTCTCTTCCCATTTCCTGCACTAGATCATGCATCACCAAACCAGGCCGATCCTCCCTTTGGAGCAAGTTCCTTTGGACTAAGGTTGAAATTGCACTTTCAGAATAAAAACCACACGCGTTTAATGTTTTGGCAACTTCATCCTCATAACAACCATGGAAGGCACATGCGATATCAAGGAAAACACTCCGAGTATTGACATCAAGTCCATCAAAGCTTATCTTGAGAATCTTTTGAATATCACCATGAGGAATTGCTTTTAGTTTTTTGAACTCGTATCTCCATTCTTTAACGGATCTCCCTAGCAGATGTGACCCCAATGTCACAAGAGCTAATGGTAGCCCATATGAATATTTTATTATGTCTTGTGCCAGTTTAACATATTCTTGTGGTGGAGAAAGACTGTTAAAAGCATGGCAATAAAAAAGTTGCTGAGCTTCATTTTCATTTAAAAGTTTGGCCTGGTATATCTCAGTTGTTGTAAGCCCATACAACAAATGCTCGTCTCGGGTTGTAATAATTATTACACTACCAGAGCCAAACCAACTTCTTTCTCTTGTTAAGGATTCTAATTGGCTTCTATGATCCACGTCATCAAGAACAATTAGAACCTTCTGAGACCCAAGTCTTGCTTTGATGAGATTAACACCTTCAGCAACACTATCAACTTCAAATTCCTTAGTTTTGAGGATTTGATAAAGTAGTTTCTCTTGAAGCTTGACCAGACCCGATTCTTCAGTTTTTGATCTAATGTCAGAAAGGAAGCAAGTACCATCAAACCGTTGAAATATTCGATTATAGATAGCTTTTGCCAAAGTTGTTTTTCCAATTCCACCAACGCCACATATACCAACCATGCGAACTTCATGCTCACATCCACTTTGCAGTAACACCTCTATATGTTTGATAGGAGAATCTAATCCAATTGGGTAATGAGCAACATCTAGAGGTGTCTGGTTAACCTCTTGCAGAACTTGTTTTATAATACCTTCAATAAACTTTGATTCATGCCTACAGTTTTTGCAACAATAAATACTTAAGTATTTTAAAATATTTGATGAACAAAATAAAAACCAATAGCCAAAAGATAACAAAGTTTATAGAATGGAGATTATCCCTTGTCCTAATCTACAGTTTAATTTGTCCTTATCATGTACTGTGGGCATAGTGAAACAGATAGATGGAGCTGTCACTTTATTGCTGCACCAATCTGGAATCTCATTGCATTCGACACAAATTCGTAAAACTTGCTTCTTCAGAGTGTGAAATGATAGAGCCTGGGCACTAAAGAAGCCTTCATTGAATGGATTCTGCAGAGAAGTACAATTAATCATGTCCATCTTCATTATAGAAGGGAGGTTGTCCAACCCTGTAATCTTGACCAGTTTTTTGCAATTCCTAAGTTCAAGAATTTTAAGGTACTCTAAATTTGATAGTGACGGGAGTGTTTGAAGATTCTCACAATCATTCAAACGCAGCTCTCTCAAGAATCGAAACTTAGAAAAATCACAGGGTAGACAATGGAAACTGTTGCCACTCAAATCTAAAGATCTTAAGGAGGATAAACTCCCAATATCCCTAGGAATATCAGCCTCCGAGAAACCACAATATGAAAGGCTTAGATATGAAATAAAAATTGGCAAGGATTCTACGTGATGGACTCTTCTTTGAGAAAATCTCCTTTTGGCCTCTAAATTTGGACCTCCCACTTGCAAATTTATAAGATCTCTTAGCATTTCAACAGATCCGGGCAATTGCTTTATACCTGTATCAAGTGCAAAAAGATATCTTAGACTCTGCATATCTCCAATGTCAACTGGCAGTGTTTGTATTCAAGGGATTTTAGCTGGCATATGCTGTTTGGAAGATCCGTAATCTTATTGCAACCATACAAACGCAGATCAGTTAGTATGTCCAAGTTTCCTATTGATGGATGGATCTCCTTCAGACTCGAGCAATTCCAAAGCCACAAAGTCTCGAAACTTTGTGAACCATTGAAGTTTGGAGTACTTCTGAGGCGCTGGCAATCAGAGAGATTCAGCTTCTTCAAACTTGTACAATACTAAAAGAAAACAAATTATAGTTTCAATTAAAATTTTCTTTCACTTAGTTGAAATATAACAGTACACATGAAATTGCAGAATTGAGTAACGAACCTTCAATTTCAAACCAAATTCTTGGATATTACTCTCTTGCATATTCAGAACTACAAGTTTTGGACAATAGCTCAAAATTTCCACTGATATGTAACTCGCCGTCAATTATAAGCACCCTAAGATTTATCATTTTCTGAAATGCTTTGGTGCTCAAGTTCACACCTTTTAATGCCCATCGTTCTACCACCAGTACTTCTACATTTTTGGAACCCTGTAGTTTAATTAAAAGAAAAGTACCCCATAAGACCCCATGTTAAGTACGAGAAATTAAGAGAGAAAAATGTGTTATACAAATATAAGGTCAAAGAATTAACCTGAATACATTACGTATCAAGAAAAATGAATTCACAAATTAGATGATTAGATCCAACTAATTGCTCAAAAAAGCTACAAACTGCAGTTAAAGAGAAATAACACCAAAAGAATAAACAAAGAAAACAATAGCTTATAGAAACTTGATAACGGTACAAATAAAAGATAGAACATACATATTAGACTATATTTAAAAGAATATTTGACATATAAAGTTTTTGAACTAATAAGATAAATGTTCCACAAACTAATTTCCGCAATCAGATACAAGCATATAGAAATTTATAATTAAACAAAATGCTCATTTCAAGTATATAGTCGCAGGCAAACAACTAGAGATAATTTACTAACCAAAGAAGAAGCACAAATGAATTGAATTCTTGTGGTGACAGTAGAAATTGTAGGTAAAAGAACGGAATTATCCAGTTGGTTAATAAGCAAATGTTTATCAAATTAAATTGAAAATAAAAAGTATAACCATGATAAAGATAAAGAATTTACTGACTTTATTTCCTTGTAGAACATCACGGACATCTTGAGGGTCGAACAATCTACTCCGTTTTCCAGGGTATCGAGATTCCATGCGAACAATTTCTCTTCCCATATCCCGCACTAGATCATGCATCCTCAAACAAAGTTCATCCCTTTGAAGCAAGTGTCTTTTGACCAAAGTTGCAATTGCACTTTCAGAATAAAAACCACATGCATATAATGTTTTGGTAACTTCATCATTAGAAAATCCATGGAAGGTGCATGAGATATCAAGGAAAACACTTTGAGTATCAGAATCAAGTCCATCAAAGCTTATCTTGAGGATCTTTTGAATATCACAATGAGGAATTGCTCTTAGTTTTTCGAACTCGCATCTCCATTCTTCTACAGATCTCCCTTGCAAATGTGACCCCAATGTCACAAGAGCTAATGGTAGCCCACCTGAGTATTTGATTACATCTTGTGCCAGCTCAACATATCCTTGTGGTGGAGAAAGACTGTTGAAAGCACAACGAGACAAAAGTTGCAGAGACTCATCTGGATATAGTAGTTTGGCCTCATATCTCTCATCTTCTCTAAGCCCACATAGCAAATGCTCGTCTCGGGTTGTAATAATTATTACACTACCAGAGCCAAACCAACTTCTTTCTCTTGTTAAGGATTCTAATTGGCTACTATGACCCACGTCATCAAGAACAATTAGAACCTTCTTTGACCCTAGTCTTGCTTTGATTAGATTGACACCTTCGGCAATACTGCTAACTTGGACATCCTTAATTTTGAGAACTTGCCGGAGTAGTTTTTCTTGTAACTTGACTAGACCAAATGCTTCAGATTCTGATCTAACATCGGAAAGGAAGCAACTACCACCGAAGTGTTGAAATATTAATTGGTTGTAGATAGCTTTTGCTAGAGTTGTTTTTCCAATCCCACCAACGCCACATATACCAACCATGCGAATGTCATGCTCACATCCACTTTGCAGTAATAACTCTATAGCTTTGACACGAGAATCTACTCCAACTGGGTGCCAAGCAACATCTAGAGGTGTCTGGATGTTGACCTCTTGAGAAACTTGTTTTATAATACTTTCAATAAATTTTGATTCATTCCTACATTATTATTTTTTTAGCGAAACCAGAAGTTAAAACAAAAAAATAAGTAAAAACTTCGCATTTGATGAACATTTACAATATTAGTTAATTATCATTAGATTCAATGTTGCTACCGGCTTTAGGAACATTTACAAAGAATGTTGATTGCCACTAAAATTACATATTTAGCAATAACTGTCGTTAATTAATAGCTGCTAAAGATCATTTTTGGTGTAGTGACTTGACAAGGAGATCAAGGTTGAAGAAAACAAATGGCCTTCGTTCTCTTCATACAGGACATTTTAGAAAATGGATTTAATTCACACATATCGATCTTTTTACCTATTAGTACATTCTGACTTGAGATAGCATGCTAATAATTGCTTCTATTTTTACCATATTATCAACTAGTACATTTATCAAAAACAGTAGTTGTAATTATCTAATAATAAGCATATGATTGTGTAAATATACTTCTACACTCATTAAAAGTGGACATTTATAATTATCTTGTAAATAAGACAAGATACATAATAGTGTAAGAATTAGTGTATATAACTTAGAAGCCGTTTGAATTAATAAATCATACCCGTCAGCAACATTTTGCAAATTCCATCCAGATAGATTTGCGGCTTCAGTCAATGCAGCTTTCCACTTCTCCACCCTTTGAGCTCCAAACAATCGTTCCTTATGTTTTGCCAAAGCTTCACCAAAGGACCCAGTTTGCCTTCGCACTTGAGAAGGATCAACATCATAGAAAATAGGCAAAACTACCTGATTTAACCTCTCTCTGCAATCGAGAATTTTAACGAGTTCATCAAGACACCAACTAGACGAAGCATAATTTTTGGAGAAAACAACAATGGCAACCCTAGATTCTTCAATTGCTTTCTCAAGTTTGACTGAAATGACTTCTCCCTTTCTCAATTCTTCATCATCTATGAAGGTATTAACTCCGACTTGACACAATCTGAAATAAAGATGACTGGTGAAATTTTTGCGCGTATCTTCACCTCTGAAACTCAGGAATACGTCATAATGATAATAGAAGTGGGAAGAAGTAGATGATTCTCCTTTTACAAATTGAGTATCCATGTATTGAAACTTCGGTGTGATGGAAGGATGAAATTTAAGTTTTATTTGTCCAATAAATATATTGAAAATTAAAATAAATATCCATTTTTAGCTATTCAATTTGCAACAATTAAGATAAACTTTACTACTATTTAATTTATAATTTAATCTTGTTACTCGGCTTGTGTCGTTGGACATCAACATAGTCGTTAACATGTCACTATGTGCCGGCATTAATTATAATCATTTTGCAATATATTAGCTAAAATATTAAATTTATTGTATTTAAAATTGTTATATCATATTTAAATAATATATTCTGTTGTCTGTTTTGGTCAAGAATTAATGGATCCGTCGTTAAGTTTAATTAATACTCCCTTCATCCACTTTTTATTGTCATAGTTTTTCTTTTAGAGTAAAATTTTTTTTACTAATATTTTATAATGTATTTTTTTCATCATATTAATATGCAAAAAATTGTAATTTATAATTTTTTCGTATAGTTTTTGAATATCTAAATTTTTTATTTAAAATATCGAATTAATATAATCTAATTTAACTTTGAAAATTAATCAAATTAACTTTCGAAAATGACAATATGATAAAAATGGACGGAGAGAATACCAAAAGAGTTGGCAAATTTCCACCAAAACTTCGCAAGTGGAAATTATTATTATCTTAAAGTTATGAATTCACATCTATAATTATTAGTTAGTTTATTATATTTAAATAAAAAAGAGGAAAAGTCGGAAGTTGTAAAATTTTAAATGACAAGTTGAATGTTTCAACGTTGAATTTATGATACTTTAATAAGCAATATTCGTTCTGTAATAAATTAATCGCAAAGAATTGATTAGGAATTTGGTTGAAAATAGAAATGGTCCAATTCAAGATGAAACTATTAGAATTGACCTTTGGTGAGGAAGTAATTAAACTACTCCCTTCGTCTATTTTTATTTGTCTAGTATTAACGCATGCAATAAATAAAACAAAAACATGATCGTATTTATTCTTGTATTCTCACAAAAAAGTTATATTTGTCATTTGTTGTACTTTAGAGTCATATTTATCCTTGAGGCATTAAATCTCCATGACCCGCCTTAATTTAACGCAGAATAGGACGAACACTCTTCTCCAAAGTCCAAGCTAAGACTGGCATTGTAGGTTACAATGTTCTCTGGCATTGTAGGTTACAATGTCCTCCAAAGTCCAAGCTAAGACTGCCATTACTAAAAATCAATAAATTACACAGTTCGATCACTTACAATGTTCTCTGGCATTGTAGGTTAATCAGAGAGACCCTATATTCACTATACAATGAAAAAGTTGATTCAATTTTTTTAAACTAAGCTTTAGTGCAACTCAACGTACTAGCACTATACAATGGAAAATTTGTTTACATAAATTAAACAAAATTTTCTATAGAAGCTACTGCCTATATCGAACACTCAATTGTTCATACCTAATAATGGCTTTGTAGCCCTATAATAGTACACATTCTACTACATCCATCTTCATTGACATCATTTTCCTCTTCTTGTGTGCTTTATGCTTTTCTGCAATCCTCAGCTTCCTCTTGGCATTTCTCATTGGATTGACCACAGCAATGACCTTCTCTTCTTGTTTCCTCTTATCCCTCTTCGATTTGATATTCTTCCTTATATGACTGTAAATTTGGACAAAAATATGTGTTCCTATAACATTGCTTATGCTCCCCCGCACTCCTTCAGCCAGTTGTTTCACGTCATCTGTGGAGATGATGTAAACATAATCATCAAATATATTAAGGACTACAAAGTTTAATCACTTGGAATCCAAAACGAAAATGAACAACATTTGTAAATGGTGGGAGAATTACATATTAATTGAGTAGTTAAAAGAAAACTAGCTTGATTCAGGACTTTGCTCTGCTGCGAGTATAAAAATGATCCACAATTGCTGGCAAAGATGTAAGATTGTCATGTTTGTCTAAATACAAGAGATGTATCCCTATCTTCTTTACTCTTAACTTTCTCAGCTTCGTCTAATGGGTGGACTGTTATCTGCTCCCCGCCTTTGATCATCCCGTCATCTCTTAAGTAAGGTATGTAATATATCCATGATACTTCTTCGTATTCTTGGGGTACAATAATATTGCAATGCGTTGACATACATACTCTCTCTATAGGATACAGTAACGACAAAGTGTCCATAAGAGCATAAACCCTTAATGTGGCAATTAACAAGCCAGACAACCATTCCGAAAAACTTATACTTGTCTTTATTATGTACTGTGGGCATAGTGAAACAGACAGATGGAGCTGTTACTTTATAGCTGCACCAACCTGGAATCTCATTGCTTTCGAGATTAATTTGTAACCCATGCTTCATCAGACAAAGACACAATTATCTAGATCATTAATTCATTAATAATGTGATACAATTGAGATTGAGAGAAAAGGAGAGAGTATAACCTGAAGTGTACGTTTTACAATTAGAGCATGTGCACTAAAGAAGTCTTTATTGAATGGATTCTGCAGACAAGTACAATTAAGAATGTTGATATGCAATATTGAAGGGAGTTTGTCCAACCCTGTTATCTCGACCAACTTCTGGCAATTCTCAAGTTCAAGAGTTTCGAGATTCTCTAAATTTGATAACAAAGGGAGTCTTTGAAGATACTCACATAATTCCTTCAACCATCGTAACTTGGAAAAATCAAAGGGCGGACCATGAAAACTGTTGCCACTCAAATCTAAAGATACTCAGTGGCGGCTCTACAGCTTTGAAAAAAAAACAACTGCCTTAGGCACCAAAATTTGAGGGGCCTCATTTTTTAAAAATACAAGAGGTTATACATATTTTTTTTAAAAAATATCGCGTATAATTTGTAGAAAATATAATTTTTTCATAAAAGAGCAAGGAAGTAATAGAAGTTTGACAAATTATGAGTACTATGTCTCAAGAAAGATTAAATAATTGGCTATAATAAACTTCATAAAAAATATATATTCGAATTTAAGGCCTCCATTCGAATTTTGCTTTAGGCCACCGATTTATTAGAGCCGCCCCTGATTAGATACTAAGGAGGTTAAACTCCCAATATCCACATGAAAAGCAGCCTTGGATAAACCAAAATTTTTAAGGACTAAACACGAAAGAGAAGTCGATATGGATTTTATGACTAATTCCTTGATTATTGGCCTGTATATATGCATTTCCAACTTCTAAAGTTTCAAGATTTCTTAGCATTTCAGCAGATGTAGGCAATTGTTTTATATCTGTATCACTTGTTTTGTCAATTGGCAGTGTTCGTACAGAAAAGCATCTAGCAATGTCTAAGAATTTAAGGGATTTTAGCTGGCATATTGATTGAACGATCTCCTTCAGCCTTGAGAAACCTTGAAGCTTTAAAGTCTCGAGATTTGTTGCACCGTTGAAGTTTGGAGTTTTTTTGAGGGCCGAGCACCAAGAGAGATTCAACTCCTTCAACCTTGGGCAACACTAAATGTCAACCAAATCCAACATTCAAGTTATATAAGATTATTTTGTATAATTTCACTAGTCAATGAAAAATGTAGAATTGGGCAACAAATTAAACCTGGAAATTCAAACCAAATTCTTCGATAGCACTCCCTTCCATATTAAGAACTACAAGATTCGCAGCTGGAAAATTTGGTGGAATATATTTTAAATGACATCTTTGCCAAGATAACCATTTGAGCTCCTTGGGAAAATGCCACAAATCTCCATGAATACGTAATCCATTGATTATAAGCACCCTGAGTTTCTTCATTTTCTTAAATGCATCGGTGCTCAACTCCACTCCCTCTAATTCCCCTGGTTCATCTAACCTCATTACTTGTACATTTCCGGAACCCTGTAGTTCAGAGAAAATGTTTTAATTAGGACTAAGAATTGTAACACGACATACAATTAAATTGAAAAGGAAAAAGAATTTACTCATGTTTTTTCCTCGTAAAACAGCACAGACTTGTTGAGGTATGAATAATCTACTCCGTTCTCCAAGGCATTGAGATTCTGAGCGAACAATTTCTCTTCCCATATCTCGCACTAGATCATGCATACTTACACAACCCCCAAGTACCCCTTGGAGCAACTGTTTTTGGACTAAAGTTGCAATTTCACATTCAGTATGAAAACCACATGCATTTAGTATTTTGGTTTTCTTGAGAGTCTTTTGGATATCATCACGAGGAATTTCTTTTAGTCTCTTGAATTTGCGTCTCCAGTTTTCTATGGATTCCCATCGCAAATGTGAACCCAATGTCACAAGTGCTAATGGTAGCCCACTGAATATTTGATTATGTCTTTCGCCACCCCAACATAGTCTTGAGGTGGAGAAAGACTGTCAAAAGCATGACGATAAAAAAGTTGCTGAGATTCATTGTCATTTAATAGGTTGGTCATATATCTTTTTGCATTAAGCCAACTTAGCAAAAGCTCGTCTTGGGTTGTAATAACTATTATACTACCCAAACCAAACCATTCCTTTTCTTTTGTTAACGATTCTAATTGTTTTTTTTTTGTGTCCACATCATCAAGAACAATTAGAACCTTCTTTGACCCCAGTTTTCTTTTGATTAGATTGATTCCTTCAGCAACAGTGCGAACTTTGTACTCCTCGGTTTTGAACAGTATATTGAGAAGTTTCTCTTGTACCCTTTCTAGACCCTTTTTTTCTAGCAATCTAACATCAGAAAGGAAGCAACTACCATCGAAGTGTACATCTCTAAATAATCGATTGTAGATATCTTTGGCCAGAGTTGTTTTCCCGATTCCACCAACTCCATATATACCAACCATGTGAACTTCATCTATGTGTCCATTTTGCAATAACGACTTTATAGGTTTAGTACGAGAATCAACTCCAATTGGGTAAGAAGCAACATGTAGAGGTGTATGGTTGACCTCTTTCTTCATATCTTGTATAATCATTTCAATAAATTCAGCTTCATGCCTACCAATATTTTTACCAAAAAACACTCACATGATGGGAGGTGTTACGCTTTAAAATAGTTGCCTATCTATGGATGGCAATGGGGGCGGTGCGGGACGGGACGCGTTGAGCTTAATGTATAAAAAATTTAATTCGCTCTGCATAACAATTTTTTTCATTTTCAACCTGCCCACATGAAACTCCCCACATAGTTTTTTTAAATATTTTTCTTTTCTAGTTAAGTTTGATACTCAAAATGAAATTCATAAAAATAAATTCTTTTTTTCATTAAGTTGTATTAATTTAATAGAAAATGACCTAAATTTTATTTTTTAGAAGTCAATTGGGAAACATGTAAGAAATTGTATTAATTTTTATTGAATCATTTTCTTTTACCATCTTGAATATTTTAGTAGCTTTAGAGAAATTATCTTAATAAATAATGTTCTATCACTCTTATAACATGTAAAAAGTTAAAATTAAATTGAATCCACATAATGCCACATATTCCCGCAACCCATCCCGTCCCACATAGCCTTAAATCCACTCCAACCCGCATCCGCCCCGTCTCATTGTTATCTATGGCTATCAAACGACCCAAAATTGTTAACCGAAACAAAAAGGAAGTTTCCTAAGAGGTACTTTCTCTTTTGGGTAATAACCATAGTTAATAGTATAATTAAAAACATTACATTTCATCCTTGTAGGAAATTACTTATGGGGTTCTTGATAGGCAATCTTACTGTGGAGGAAAGTTGATAGAAATTAAATGGAAACATTCAAATTCTTTTTCTTTTTAATTGAATGGTTTCACATTCTAAATTTCTCTACCCACCAAAGGTCAATTCTAATAGTGGTTGCATCTTGAATTGGACCCTTTTTATTTTTAAACAAATTTCTTAGTACACAAAACAAATATATTGCTTACGTAAAGCAAGGTATCATAAATTCACGTTGAAACATTGTAGTTGCCCTTTAAAATTTTACAACTTATGATTTTCATCTTTTTTAAAAAAAAAAAAATGCAAGAAATATGTCATGATGTTCCACTATGCCTTTATAAATCTCCATTTATCTTTGTTTTGTTTGTTTAATCGAAATTTAATCTTCTTACTGTTACGATTACCAGATTTTACACACTACTTGCCTATTCTTTCTTCTTCTAACCTTTTCTTTTCCTTTTTGAATATTTTCTTTTAATATTAGTATTTCTTTTGAATGGTCTAACCAGTAGTTGAACTTAGAAGCTTTCTTTGGTTATGAAACCAAATTAATATTATTTACCTTATATAGAGGTATTGCCACTATAAGTAATACAAGGATTAACTATTTTACGCAAAATTTTAGTAAATGTGCTTTTACATAAATTTCCATTCAGTGTGACATACACGAAGTAAAACCACATGTTTCTTCTTTTTGCATTCCAAAAAAAAGGAAGAAGATTCTTCTCCATTACTAAAAATCAATAAATTACACAGTTCAATCACTTACAATGTTCCCTGGCATTGTATGTTAATCAAAGAGACGCTATATTCACTATACAATGAAAAAGTTGATTCAAAATTTTAAACTAAGCTTAGTGCAACTCAACATACTACCACTATACAATGGAAAATTTGGTTACATAAATTAAACAAAATTTTCTATAGAAGCTACTGCCATCGAAGATCGATGCTCAATTGTTCATACCTAATAATGGCTTTGTAGCCCTATAATAGTACGCATTCTACTACATCCATCTTCCCATCTTCATTGACATCATTTTCCGTTCTTGTGTGCTTTATGCTTTTCTGCAATCCTCAGCTTCCTCTTGGCGTTTCTCATTGGATTGACCACAGCAATGACCTTCTCTTCTTGTTTCCTCTTATCCCTCTTCGATTTGATATTCTTCCTTATATGACTGTAGATTTGGACAAAAATATGTGTTCCTATAACATTGCTTATGCTCCCCCGCACTCCTTCAGCCAGTTGTTTCACGTCGTCTGTGGAGATGATGCAAACATAATCATCAAATATAATAAGGACTACAAAGTTTAATCACTCGGAAGCCATAAAGGAAGTGAAGAATATTTGTAAATGCAGCTAGCACTTGGCATATAAGATAGTATGGACAGACACTTGAAACAATAAGTTAGCAAGAGATTAAATGAGAGACCATACCTGATATAACTTTTCCGGCAAATCCTTCACAAACTTTGTACAGGGGCAACAGCATATGATATGCAAAGCTTTGGCAATCAACCTCACCTTCAGGGGACAACAATCTACTCTGATCTATAAGCTTTGGTGAAACTGATTTGAAACAATTGAAGATAATTCTCATCTGCAAAAAATTGTGCACATTCCACAGCATGAGAACAGGCACTCCTAGCACCATATATGGGAGAGTAAGGCACAAAATATTTTTTTTGGAAAACAACGAGAAGGTAAATTACATAGCAATGACTAGGCTAAGAAATTTTTTGCGAGTCGAGCAAACAGAGATATCCTTAATTAATCACCCACCTGCATATCCTCCACATGAAGGGAAATCTTTCCCATTGTCTTAAGCAAATAAGAAATGACCAAGTAGCGCTGGCCTTCATCTTCTTGATCGCTAAGGTCAGACACAAGAGACAGATAGATGTTTTTCCCTTTCCTTGAATCAAGCTGTTGAAAAGCCTTAAGTAGAAGACCCTGCTCGTCATGTTCAATGGTGGACCAGAACTCATCTTTACATTCATTTTTTCCTAAGAATGAATGCAGAGAGCAAATTGAAAAGACAAGATTTTGAGTAATGAGATCACTGGCAGCATCATCAGTCTGCAGCACCTTCAGCTGACAACAAAGAGAAGTAGCTACGAAGAAAAGTCTACTTGGCCTCATCAAAAAGTAAGTTTCTTGTGGCAGTTCAAGGTTTTCTTTCCAAGCCTCAGTCACAGTGGCAAAGTAGCAAGCCACAAGACGGTTTGATATGTTGCGCAACCACAGATGCGGATGCAAAAGCAACTCACAGATTGCTTCCCACAGATCCTATGAGATGTCAATAAAAATAATAGTCAGAAAACAAATATGAATTTATCCAAAGAACAGGACAAGTTATTGGCAATCTGGAAATGGGAGTGTGGTAGCTGTGGAGCGTACTTTCCCCAGTACAACAATAACATACCTAGTGAAATCCCACTAAGTGGGGTCAGGGGAGGGTAGAGTGTACGCAGTCCTTACCACTACCTCGTGGAGGTAGAGAGGCCGTTTCCGAAAAACCCTCGGCTCAAGTGCATCAAACCAAAGTAAAAGTATCCTCTTCAAACTTTAAGCCCAGTATACTATTCAAACTCTAAGCACTTGATTTTCAAATACTTCTTAACTTTACACCTAGTCTGTAGTTGCAAACTATCTTTTGGCATGCTGCCTAAGTTTGAGGACCAAAGCAATTTCACCGAATTGGTTTTAACCACACCAAAAAGTAATTTATTTCTTAAATCTATCACAAAGCAAAATGAGGTCCAGTGGTTT